ATATGATATAATTATTTTCTCTATACTTAGACACGTAAAAATTATACGAAAATCAGCTTCGTTTTTTTAAATAGAATTGTATATTTTTTAATGCATAATTAAATACAATGCAATGTTCTCTATAAAAAGACCATTAAATTATTTTATTTTAATATTTATAATCAAAAGTTATTAATTTAGAAAATATTTAATTATATTTATTTATTTTCTGAATTAATAATTTTTCGATATATATGGTCTAATAATTTTTATAGAAAATGTTGAAATTCATGATTTTATGTACAAAAAATATATGATATCATTTAGAAAAACAAACCTGATTTTTATATGTTATTTACGCGTCATTTACGAAAAAATTATTAATATCGAAATGTAATCCATTTGAAATTATTTAATTTTTATTTAAAATTTTTTTTAGTATTGCGAAAAACAAGCGAGATATTTCAGATATATCAACGTGAGACACTGGTATATCAATGAATTATAGGTAAGTATATAAGGTAAGTATTTAGATTTAAGAAAACTGTTGAAAAAATGTTAAAAAACAAACCATGGAAGCTATAAAAGGTAAGTGTATTAATGGTAAGTACAGATTTTCATAAAAATATCTGGTATTGGAAATATAAGAAAAATTTCGCATGCTAACTTCTCTAAAATTATATTCTCCTAATAAAAAGTCGAAATTTTAGCAAGAATTTTACAAAACTAACTATTTCTACGAAAAATTTTGTATGCCACCTCCTTTAGAATTATATTCTCCTAATGAAAAATCGAAATTTTTAGACAGAAACAAACAATATTTAAGAATTTTGAAATTTTCAAGAACTTGACATCATTTTTAAGAATTTTAGAGATTCCGAGAATTTAACGTCATTTCCAAGAACTGCTGAAATTCCTAGAAAAATTTCTCGAACGACCTCCTATTAAGTTATATTCTCCTGATACAAAATCGAAAAGTTTAACCAGAAAGTAACAATTTTAAAAATTTCGAAATTTCCAAGAATTTGACGTCATTTCCAAGAAATTTAGAAATTCTAAGAATTCGATGTCATTTCCAAGAAATTTAGAAATTCTAGGAATTCGACGTCATTTCCAAGAATTTTAGGGATTCCGAGAATTTGACGTCATTTCTTGGAAAAATTTTTCGATCGACCTCCTATCGTATCATGTTCTCCTAATACAAAGTCGAATTTTTGGACAAAAATTTTTCGATCGCTCAGGGAATTTCGTACTCAATTCTTTTTCTTGAATATTTCGTTTATTTTTAGTAATATCAAAAAATGCTTGGAATAAAAGTTGAATGGCTTCGTAAGGGCTATGTTCTGGTGACTTCAGTTTTTTCGTAGGTGGACTCATAAAAAAGTTCTCAATGTCAATTTTATTTATTTAAATGGCACCCTATAATTTTTAATGCATAAGTTGATATATCTCAGTATTCTCTATAAAAATGGTTTAAGACATATATAGTAAAAAACCATTGGTTTAAAAGATACTTAATTAAATTTAATTATTCTTTAAACTATAAGGTTTTTGCTACGTATGGCTTAATACTTTTTTACAAGGAATGCCAAGATACATCTACTGGCGTATTAAAAAGCGTATACTTCTATTTAAACAAACAACATTCACCCTTATAAATCACTTACGCTTCTATATATAAAAAAATAAATAGCACTGGGATGTGTCTCCGTCGAAACCGTTCAACTTTTATATGAAACATTTTTTAATATTCCCAAAAACAAACGAGATATACTACATAATACTAGTCGGACACCCGGTGCATTATATTATGCAATGGACCATTAAAAACCATCGATTCATTCCCAATAATAAAAATACAGTGCTCAAAGTATCTTCGAATTCTTAAAAAATTTAAAAAACTGATAAAAAACGCACTAAAAATAGCAGGAGATAAGTGTACAAGCTCTAGAATTCTAAATTTATATATAAATTGCAAAAAACAATGTTTCAAAGCTCTAAAAAAAATGGCTACGGTAAGAGGAATGGTAAAAAAGTACGTAGGTATACGATAAATGTGAAAAAACTCCTTTTAAAACATGTTCTCCTAGTAGAAAATCGAATTATTGGCCAAGGGTATCGTTTGATTGCTCGAGCAGCTCGAAATTTCCAAGAATTTGACGTCATTTCCAAGAAATGTAGAAATTCTAGGAACTCGATGTCATTTCCAAGAATTTTAGGGATTCCGAGAATTTGACGTCATTTCTTGGAAAAATTTTTCGATCGACCTCCTATCGTATCATGTTCTCCTAATACAAAGTCGAATTTTTGGACAAAAATTTTTCGATCGCTCAGGGAATTTCGTACTCAATCCTTTTTCTTGAATATCTCGTTTATCTTTAGTAATATTAAAAAATGCTTGGAATAAAAGTTGAATGGCTTCGTAAGGGCTATGTTCTGGTGACCTCAGTTTTTTCGTAGGTGGACTCATAAAAAAGTTCTCAATATCAATTTTATTTATTTAAATGGCACCCTATGATTTTTAATGCATAAGTAGATATATCACAGTATTCTCTATAAAAAAGGTTTAAGGCATATATAGTAAAAAACCATTGGTTTAAAAGATACTTAATTAAATTTAATTATTCTTTAAACTATAAGGTTTTTGCTACGTATGGCTTAATACTTTTTTACAGAGAATGCCAAGATACATCTAATGGCGTATTAAAAAGCGTATACTTCTATTTAAACAAACAACATTCACCCTTATAAATCTCTTACGCTTCTATATATAAAAAAATAAGTAGCACTGGGATGTGTCTCCGTCGAAACCGTTCAACTTTTATTTGAAACATTTTTTAATATTCCCAAAAACAAACGAGATATACTACATAATACTAGTCGGACACCCGGTGCATTATATTATGCAATGGACCATTAAAAACCATCGATTCATTCCCAATAATAAAAATACAGTGCTCAAAGTATCTTCGAATTCTTAAAAAATTTAAAAAACTGATAAAAAACGCACTAAAAATAGCAGGAGATAAGTGTACAAGCTCTAGAATTCTAAATTTATATATAAATTGCAAAAAACAATGTTTCAAAGCTCTAAAAAAATGGCTACGATAAGAGGAATGGTAAAAAAGTACGTAGGTATACGATAAATGTGAAAAAACTCCTTTTAAAACATGTTCTCCTAGTAGAAAATCGAATTATTGGCCAAGGGTATCGTTTGATTGCTCGAGCAGCTCGAAATTTCCAAGAATTTGACGTCATTTCCAAGAAATGTAGAAATTCTAGGAACTCGATGTCATTTCCAAGAATTTTAGGGATTCCGAGAATTTGACGTCATTTCTTGGAAAAATTTTTCGATCGACCTCTTGTCGTATCATGTTCTCCTAATACAAAATCGACAATTTTAGCCAGAAATAATAATTTTTATGAATTTCATAATTTCCAAGAATTTGATGTCGTTTCCAAGAATTTTAGGAATTCCGAGAATTTGACGTCATTTCCAAGAATTGTCGAAATTCGTGGAAAAATTGTTTCGACGACCTCCTATCAAGTTATATTTTCCGGATACAAAATCGAAAATTTTTGCCAAAATCATTGAAAAATTGATTTTTGCTGAAAAATTTTCGTGCCATTTGTTTACATATCATATTCTCCGAATAAAAAGTCGAATATTTTAATCAATATTTTTGATTTATTGATTTTTTTTTTGTGTCACTTCTAGAATTATATTATCCTGAATAAAAAATCGAAATTTTAGAATAAAAAATTAAAATTTTTAAAAATTTGATTTGTGTGAAAAATTTCACGTGCTACTTCTTATTGCATTATATGCTCCTAGTACAAGATCAAAAATTTGTATTAAAATTTTGCTGCCAAATATTGCTGGAATTCTGAGATACAAATTTTTTATTCAAATTTTTATGTTTTAAGAAAATAAAATATTAACGAGGGTGGCACGCGCAATTTTTCTAGAATTTAATATACTTACCTATCTTTTACTTACCTTTACATACTTACCTTTACATACTTACCTTTTTAATTCAGCTATATTGTGAAGAATTAATCATTTTTTTAACAATTTACTTAAATCTAATAAGGGATTATGGAATATATACAAGATATGTCACATCAACTGAAATATCTCGCTTGCTTTGAATAATATTAAAAAATATTTTAAATAAAAATTGAATGGTTTTAAGAAATTTTATATAGATATTATTAATTTCTTCGCAAAAGATTTGAGAAGATTAACTTTATATTTTTAATTAGAGATAATTATGTCTTTTAACATACAAATCAATTTATCTTAACTAATTTTTAACTAGATAAGTAAGTTAAAAAATTGTTACTTTACGAAATATTTAATGATAATTACTAGTTATTATAAATAATTTAATAATTTTTTATAGTGAATAATATTGTATCTATTGATATATTAAAAAATATATCATTCTATTTAAAAAAACAAAATTATTCATGTACTTTTAACTATCTATGAAGAAATTAATTTCATCATTTTAAGTGTATCTTAAAACCATTCAACGTTTACTTGAACTATTTTTTTATATCTCTAAAAACAAGCGATATTCCAGAATAAAATTATGTGAGAATCTGGTATATATATGAGTGAATGAAAGATAAAAAATGAAAAGGAAGGAATGAAGTGAAGGGAATTTTAGAATTATTTCTAAAATTGAAGTCAGTCAATGGTCAATTACTGTCAGTCAATACTGATTCAGTCAACAGTCATAGTCAGTCAATTCAGTTTGAAAAAATATTTACATCATTTTTTCAATGTATTTAATTATTAATACATAGCATATAGTTACAATTTTTTCACTTGCAGAATATTATGAGTTTCCAATTAACTATCATAATATTGATTTAGAATCTTATTTGATCTCTTAAGAAGATATTTTCAATATTAACAAATCATCACAGATATAATTTCTGTTGGACATAGCATATAGAAATCTCGAATAAACAGTAATAATAAATAATACATGACCAGTTCATACGCATAAATTTCATCAGTCACACAGCGTTCGTGCTCGAAAGAGCTTATCCGGTAAAAAATAACCGCACGCATTCACGCGATGTATTTATACGATGCAGTTTGTCACAAGCTCGCCGACCCAGTAGTTATGCCATAGTTAAGCGGAGGCACGTGCACCTGCATAAAGACGACACCGAGACCAGGCCCTCTCGTTTATCACATTACACGTTGGCAGAAGGAACTCTGAAATATCAAACATTACGTTACAATGGTCTTGATTCAAAAGTGGCTTGAATCACTTGAATCAACGGGAAATTGTAAAAATCGAAGCTCGTTTGATTTTTACAAGTTTTGTGATCTCTGATTCATGAATTTATAAAAATATTGACAGAAAGAATTCGAAAGATTTGACACAGAACGAAAGAGAAAAATAGAGGAAGGGGAAAGGTAATTTAGGGGAAAGGTAATTTTGATAAAAAAAAAAAAAAAAAGGTATTGGAAAAAAAATATAATTTTGAATAAATAGAAAGGAGAAAATTTTAATTCTATTTTATTTTTATACTTAAAGTTAAGTGTGTATAATTTCAGACGAGTACTGTGAGTTTTTGATATATTCAAGAAGCTTACATTTTTTGCTTGCCACGTAGGCATCAGAGATTCGCTTGCAAAATAACTAATCTCGTAATATATCTTATGGATCTCTAGTTATCTACTTTCTTTTAATTATGTAAATTAAACAACGAAAATACGGACAAGTAGCAGAAGAAAGATGAGTTGCACACAGGAGGGATAACAATATTATACAATTCAGTCACGAAATATGCTATATAATGCTTCCTGTATCTACATACAGTATGAAACTGGATAATATGTACAACATCAACTCACAAAATTAAATTCTGCTTGTTGAATTCTAGAATCAGTTTAATTGTTTCCATCGCGCTTTAACTTTTTAACTTTTAAATCTTATTTTAAAGAACTTGGGATAACTTTTAAATCAATTTAAAATCTTCAACATACCATCGTTAAATTTGTTACAAGCAATTTTCCAGAAATAAACATATCTATCCAAGTTTAACTTGAAATTCGATTAAAATTAAGCGAATTATAAACTTATATAACTTATAATGAAATAATGACTTCCGGTCAACTAATGAACGGCCATTAGAAACGTAGAACCTTATCCTTTAAAACTATTTTTGATTTATCTCGATACGACTTCAGATTCTCGAGATATCGTCGTATAAAGAAAATTTTTAATCAATTATTATCTTCAATATATATCTTCGTCCTTTGCTCCAAACTCTCGCTCGCACCTCGTCTCACTGACCTATCCCAGACGCATTTCATCCCAGACAAATTCCAGACGCAATTCTTGGAAAGACATATATATATAACATCTGCCCATGTCAACAACGCTATAGAAACTTTGAATCCCTATCTCGACAACCGATCGAGATATCACAATGACTTCAATGGCATAATTTCCTATTCTCCGAATAAGTTTCGATGACAAAATTTTTACTCTCTTTCCTACTCTGCCTTCTACACGAAAACTTGTGAAGTTACATTTGTGATTTTCCACGACTGTGCAATTTAGAATTATTTCAATTTCACTCTTCTATAAAATTACAAATGAATTATAAATATCGAGAGAAATTTTCTCGCGCAATCAAAAAATCCTCGCACGCTGCTTACAACTTACTTACAACGTTCACCATTCGATCAAACGGAACAACCCGTTTCCAACTTCTGTTCTTGTACTCTCCCAACTGGACGGACGAGTTATCCAGATTAGATTAAGACGGTGGCGAGCGTGCAGAAATTGTTCACCCCGTTTCGACCGACATTCCAAAGCGGAAGCGTCGGTCCAATCGCCGCTCCAAGTGCCCCAAGCATCACGTTCCTCCTTCTCGTTGCTCTTCTCCCTCGTTGAAAATATCGCGCGGGTCCCTGGCCCTTCTTAAGCCCATCGTGCGTCGTTCCTTCGCGAACGTCGAGATAACGAGCGGCGAATAATAATAACATTACTTTCGCGCGAATTACTCGTGTCCGATCTAGGCTTGGGAAACGTCACCCCTCTCCTCTCTCATATTTTTCTTGCGCGATTACGAATGGTAATCCGCTTTCGCGCAAGGATGACTATGAGGCGGGGGATTGTAATTTCTAGCTCGCAGTGACGCTTGCGAAAAGAGGGTTGCGCGTGGCTTGTCTGGAGGGGAGAGGAGGGGATTTAATTCGAACTCCTTCGAATGCCATTATTCGGATTCAACTTACAAATCGTTCCACAATTTCCGCAATTTTACGCTCGAAAGTTTCCGCCATTTTGCGTTATTTCATCTTCATTTTAAAGGAAAGGATTCGACGAGCCGGAACTGGTTCTCGAAGATGGGTTTTTTTTTTGAGGGAGAGGAGGAGGGGATGTTCGAAAATCGAGCGGGGGAATTTTTGGGGAAGGGATTTATTGTATTGCGCGACACGCGCGGTGTATTAATTTTAACATACTAATTGATTTATAATTAAGTTGGGCCAAGTTTCTGACGTACGAATATCACAAATGTTGAAATTTCAGATTTCGCGTTAACGAGAAAATCAAAATTCCATGTAACGTGCTTTGAAGTCCGCCTATCTAATTACTTTACGAATTGCATTCGCAAATACGCGGACCGGTCTATGCAATCGAAACTAGCTCGCCAACTTCGGGAACATTGATTGAAACGAATATCGTCAAAGTAGAGTGTTGTAGAAAGGATTTGTCGACAAGCGAACTCGCTCAAAGGTATATAACTAAAAACTGTATACAGCTTATTATAACCTAGACAACCTGTAATCATAATTATCCTTAAAAAATTTAAAGAGATAAAGTTGAAAGTATGTACTCGAGATAATTCGAAGAATTTCGAAGGCTTTAATCTTCTCGTTTAGAATCTTTCGACATCGACTGTACGATTCGTTCTACTCAATAATAAAATAGAAATAGTATAGTGATTTACCAATCTTTGCAAATATTCACGTTAGAAGAAGAAAAAAAAAAGAAAAATCCGGAATTTTAAAAACAAGATTTCCAAGATTTCCACACATCTTCACGAACGGTTCTCTAACGTCTTCTCTAAACGAAATTATTCCACCTCGTTCAAAACACTATTCCGCAATTTCGCAATTCGTTTCACCATTTCTCGAGTTCTCTCTAAACAGAAGAATCCGGTTACGTGATCGCGCGCAAGATTCGAGGCTCACGAAAGTTACGAACATGCAGAACGTCGTCCCGAGTAGATCCGTGGTGGATAGCGATGATCTAGTAGAAATGATGCTCGTTGGAAAATTCGGGGACGAATTTCGAAATTAAGATTCTGGGACAAACGAAAGGATGAAAACATACGTGTTCGATAATAAAAAGAGAGAGTTTCTTCTCCCCTCCCATGTAAAATAGGGAACAAATTTTGGCGAACAAAATTTTCTTCCTTTTACATAACTTTCAGACCGGGAAGATAAATATCCTTTTTCCATGCCGCGGAAACGTTCGTCCAGGGGATTTTATTCGCGTCAAGAATTGCGAGTTGGTCGAAGCGAAGCGGAGAGCCACAGGGAGAAAGTGGTTGTCCGCTTGATCACCGACTGTGCTGGAACTTGCGCCGGTTCTGAACGTCTCCTGAAGTCTGTAGAAGAAGCGACCGATACGAACGGTCTTGTTTCTTTTATTATTTTTTTCCTTCTTTCTTTCTTGTGTAAAATATTCAGATAAGCAAGTTCGATAGATTTGAAATGAAAATTTGGAAATGGAAATCGAACCTAGTGACACGAACGTAGCGAAGTTAAAATTTAAATATATAATGAAATATTCGTTGGATCGAAGCTGTTAGCTCGAATCTATCTTTCGTTGATTCCTGACCGAGTCAAAGATTACTCGAGGATTAGGACTCACCCTATCTCTGTCCCACTGTTTTCATTTTCTCCATCCGGTTGTCGAAACCTCTATCCACTTTGTTGGGAACGGTCGCCTCGATGAAGGGTGAAACAAGGCGAGGCCAGCGAGGACAATTAATGCCAGCTGGACGAAACCGTGAGCGATTCATCCCGTGGAAACAACAGGCACGGTGTTTCCTTGTTTGTCGGGAATCCAGAGCGTCGAATCATCCGTCGGTTTATTTCACGTGCGATCCGATTAGTCTCCGTCATCCCTCTGTCGAAAGAATCCTTGTTCGTCACATTCGTTTCGATTTATCGAGATCGAGAAAAGTAGACTTATACTACGATAAAACAAACTTAAAAAATATATATATATATTTCATAAACTTCGAAAACGCATTTAACACACAATCGAAATGAAATTCTTCCATCTCGAAAATAGATTAGAAAGCGTTTCGATTCCGGAATGATTAATGAAATCCACATGAAGACACGAGAAGCGACGAGAAACCAATCCACCGATTCATTTCCGCGGCGATTTTCGCGCGGCTTCCGGTCAAACGAAAATCGATATCCAATCGTTCGAACCAGATATTTCCAACCGTACAACGTTACTTCGCAATCTTAAGAGTCAGCATTTAAATCTTGGCGCGCGCACACATATACACACGTACGACTTGATAATGTACAGCGGTCATTCTTAGCAGGCGTCAGAAAGCGGAAATTAAGTTTTCACCAGACATGCACGTGAGAATCCGGCCGATATTGGAGACGTTACTTGCCCCTTGCTCCCTAGCGCCAGTCGATAATCTCGTACCGGCTCATTTAGCCGGTGAGGAGTTTTGCATAAATTTCACTCGGAAGATAGGACGATATCTCTCTTCGTAGAACGGGGAGGAAACGAGTATCGATGGAGGAAGAAGGCAAGGGGCGAACGTTCGTATCGTTAATGGTACGTGACGTGGTAATTCTCGGTAAACGAGTTAATTGAAAATAAATAGGAGGTACGTTTTCGATGATAAATAAACTTCATCAACGGCCTGTTCCCCGTTCCCCGTTTCGAACCGTTTTCGAGAGAAATGATGGATAAATAATGCCTTTTTCCATGTGGATGCACACAGGAACGAAACAGGATTTAGATTTTTCTTTTTTTTTTTCTTACGATTTCTTGTAATATCGCGGATAAAATTATTATGGAAACCCGTTCAAATAGAATCTTCCTCGAGATTCCACAATGTTTAATAATTCGGATTAGATCGGATTTTATAAAAAAATCGATGATTCGATAATCTCAAGATTTTTAACGTTACTTAGGATTTTCTTAAGATTGGAATCCA